GCTCTCTGCTAACTGGCAACTCAGGGAGAAACTCAGGGCTCTGGGCCCAATGGCAGTTGGAGGCAGTACTGTGCTGCTGCCACCAGGGGAGCAACTCCTGAGGCCTAAGTGGCTGTGGCCCCAGGCAGAGCAACTACCTGGGAACTGAGCTAAGGAAGGTCCTTCCTCCAACAGGAGAGTCGGCAGGGACTGTGCAGACTCAGCACGGCCAGGCTCCTAGCAGCCAGCCAGTGTCCATGCCCCCTTAGCAGTCCTGGTTAGTGACTCTTGCCAGCAGCTTGGGCTAGGGTGTCCTAGGAGGGGCAGTAGAGGGTTGTCACTTGAGGAGCTTCACAGAGAGGCGGATCTGAACGTCACAGAGGAAGATGTCCATGAGGTCGCGGCCTACCTCCTGTGCAATCTGGGCGATCAGGTGGCCCTTCTTACCAATCAGGATCCTCTGAGAGTAAGAGAGAGAGATAGGGGCCTGCCCTCGGGCTTCCAAATGGGGGGAAAGAGCCCCTGCTATCATTGCCTTAGTCTCTCTTCTGAGTCTAGACTCACATACCATATGAGATTCTTTGGGCACCAGAAGTATCTGTTGAATCACCAGTTCCCCACTGGGTCCTTCTTCCCATACCATCGTCTTCTGTACAGGGAGATGTCACTGTTAATTAGCTGGCCCATCCCTTTGCCTAGCTGGGCCCCAGCTGCTCTGCTCGGGGTCTGTACCTGCTGCACACTGTAGGGCATCTCCTGGGGCAGGTACTCCAGGAGCTTCTCTCGGATCACGTTGGTGCAGATCTCTTCAGGTGCCTGGCTAGTAAGGACTTCACTGTGGAACTCCCAGGGCCCTGGCCGGGCTTGCGCCAGGAGGTATTGCTGTGGGCACAGAGGGAGTAGGTGGGCATCTCAATCCCAACCAGGATTTTCCTAGTCACTTTTGCTTCCTGGAAGAAATCTGAGGCCTCTCTTTAGCCTATGGCCAAGGCTAACTAACCTTTAGTATCTTTACATCTTCCTGGCTTAGGGCTGATAACATGAAGATTTCCTGGAAGTGGGGCCAACCAATCTTTTGAGAGCTTTCCACAGACTCCGTATTTGAGTGCTTAGCTGCTGTGCTGGGGCAATGTGTGTCAGGGTGTGAGTGGAAGGCCTGCTTTATCTTGAGCTTCTTGCCATTGACCACACCATCAGTGAGGGCTGCTGTGAGCTCCAAGAGAACTGATTTCTGTTTCAGGCAATCTACCTGGGCATGGGGGATAGGTAAAAAGTAGGTGGTTGGCAAGATGGGGGCCTTGGAAGGCAGGAGATCCCTTCCACATGAGAGGAACTCACCTTGTTCATGACAAGGACGCTGGGGACCTGGGAAAACTTAGTCAAGCACTGGAGTACCTGTGGACTGAGCTGTTTCCGAGTCCACTTGTCTGAAACGTCCACGAGAACCACAACTGGAAGATGGCAGGGTAGGCAGAAGGACAAGGATATGACCACTCTTCCTTTTGCTCCCATAAAAACTTTCATGGTATGAACCCTGGCCAATTCCCAACCTCCAAACCACCAGGACCAAAAAGCCATGACCCCTGCAAACTAGGGGGCTTCAGATTCCCATCCTGGGCCTAACCAAGATCAGCAGATTCCATGCTCTTCCATGGATCTTCCAACAAGGAGGGCTCCAGATGGTGCCTGAGGAATACATATGTAAATATGTATCAGTCGGGGAAGGTTTTATGACAACTGTATTCCCGATGAAAGAAGGGGTGTGATAAGGGGATTTTCAACCCATAAATAAAATCTCCCCATCCGCTCGTCACTATGCCAGTCCCTCCACCTGTTTCCATAGCCATACTACCTCTTCTGTTTAACAGGACTGATGATGCCAGGCGTGTCAAGTAGAATCTAAAATCAGGAAAGAGAAATACCCAGCCCCCAGGAGAAAAGATTATGACGGGGAAGTGAGAGAATGAGGTCAACTTTGATGTCAGGAGCCTGCTCTCTCTTCTTTGCCAAGCTCTTCTATTACTGCCTGAGATTTTTCTTTCTTTTTTTTTAAGATTTATTTTTTAATTTAGCTTTATTTATTTAGTTGCATTTAGTTTAATTTGACTAGAGAGGGACAGAGTGAGAGAGAGAACGAGAGACAAAGTGAGAAAGCAAGCCGCCAGATCAGGGACTCAAACCATGGTCGGCCATGTGGGAGCCCAGTGCCCTTAACCACCATACTACCTGCTGGCCCCCACTTTTATTTTTAAAGAGATTTTTGCTATAGGGTACATGCGCTCGCCAGAGAAAGACTGACAGAGAGAAGAAAGTGAGAAATCACCCCCCCAGGGAGGATGGTCACATCGCAATCCTTTCTCTCCTCTCAGGATTTTGGGCATGTACACATACACATGTGCCTGGTGCGGGTTTTAAGCTGCCAGGTCTGGGACTTGAACTGTAGTTTACTACATGGGAGTCCAGCAATGTAATCACTATGCCATCTGCTGGTCCCACTGCCTTAGATTTCTTACCCTTCAGCTTCGTTTTAATTCTAGAAGAAATCCTGGAGAAGATAACTGTGAATATGTGGAAAATTAGGAAGCCATAAAGAGGGTATTAAACCTTTCTGACTAGATGTAAAAAGGAGAAAAGTAAAGATAGACTTGTACAGGCCTGGGACCAGCAGTTGGCATAATGGCTATATCACTGGACTCCCATGTAGTTGACCACGTTTCAAGTCTCGGACCTGGTGGCTTAAACTCGTGTCAGGCGTATGTGTGTGCGTGCCCAAGATCCCTAGAGGGGAATGAAGGAGAAGGCACTGCAGCATGACCATTCCCCCAGGGGGGTGATTTCTCACTTTCTGTCTCTCTTTTTCTGGCAAGCACACGCACCATATAGCAAAAACCTCTCCAAAAAAAAAAAAGAATTATACAGACCTAAAGGAAGAGAAGACTCCCTTTTCTCAAGTAATTGAATCTAAGCATGCTTTTCTTTAAGGGCTGATGAGACCCTCTTAGCTTCACCCTTTCCTTTTTTCAGGACTTTCTTTGTAGGTACATACCACCTGCGCCTCCTTCTCTGTGATGACTCCGAGAGCTTGGCAGCGAGTGGTATGCACCTTCTTGGAGACAGGGAACACCTGCCAGGAACAAAAAAGTCCAGTGAGGTTTGATTCCTCCAGGACCTTCTATAAGGACATGGCAAGAAGTGAGAGATAAAAGGGGAATAGGAGTGGAGGGTAGTCAAGGATGCAGCATACTTTTCGGCCAAGTAACTGGTTGGAGAGTGTTGACTTCCCTGCATTTGGAGCTCCTAGAAGGACCACTCGTAGGACCCGGGGATTCTCAGGCATGTCAGGCTGATGGATCAAGAGGAGATTTTGCTCATCTGTGTGTGAGTGGAATAAGGAGTGAGATATAGTGGGATTTGGAATCCTGAACATCCACAAAGACAAAGGGTACATGATTAGTACCCCTTTGCCACATTGAAGCCACCTAAATCTGACTTTTGAGACTCATTTTGGTCCTTGTTTATGTGACTTTACCAAGTTCTTCAATCTAACTCCTTTAGTTTCTTTATACATAAAATGGAGTTGATATTGTAGCTACTTACTTAAAACTTCCTTTTGATGATTGCTAATTGTATAAAACCACTCAGGAAAATAGCTGGCACTTAAGATACTCAATTACTGTGTGTAACAGTACTGTGTAGCTGTGCCTAAGAAAATGTATGTACAAGTATGGAATTGCAGCTATTGTAGATTAGCTAATACCAGAAAATTTTCTAGATTAATCTCACCTTACTATGCGTGCTATGAAGACTCCAAAAACTTTCTCAGTCTTTCTGTATTATACTCATATGACAGTGTATTGCAATTACCAGTTTGTGTCCAGTCTCCTTACCAGAATGTAGTCTATGCTACTTGAAAAATAAAATATGGTTGGGAACCAGCAGTTGGCGTAATGGCTATGTCGCTGGATTCCCACGTAGTCGACCACGGTTCGTGTCCCGGACCGGTGGCTTAAAACTCACGCCGGGCGCGTGTGCGTGCGTGCCCAAGATCCCGAGAAGAGAACGGAGAAGAAGGGATTGCGGCGTGACCATCTCCCCTGGGGGGTGATTTCTCGCTTTCTGTCTCTCTGTCTCTCTCTTGTCTGTCTGGCGAGCGCACGCACCCTATAGCGAAAACCTCTAAAAAATAAATAAATAAATAAAAAATAAAACATGGCTATTTCCCAGGTGTAACTCAGTGTCTCAACAGGTAGATTGGGCTCAAAATGCCTTTATTTGCTTCCCACGTGGGGGAAGAGAGCCACAGCTTTGCCTTGTCTGAGGCCCTTGAATCTTGGGCTTTATGGTGCAAGTCTCTGGTCATGACCAGATCGGTATCCTCTTCCTTCTAAATTCTTAGAATCTGGTATCTATCTCCTGTGAGATCTTTCACTGCTGAACTGTCTCAGGTCCTCAAAATCATATTCTGCAATAAAGAGCCAAATGCGATATCCCCAGAGACTGAAAGGTTTCCCCGACAAAGGACGTTCAGCGCGAAACCCCTCGAAGTTCGGGAAAACCTATTTAGGTCCTTTACCTCTGTGCATGGATACCGCAGGGACGCGAGTTGTCACTGAATTGTCGGGCTGAGAGGATCCGAGGAAGCGGTCCAGGGCTGAGCCCTGGCCATAGTGGCGAGAGGCGGGCGCCAGCCGGGCACCAGAGAAAGCAGCGCCCGCAACACAGGACACACATCTCCGTTGACAGTTTAAGGCTGAGGGGAGCGGAGTCACCCGCTCCCTTGCGGTGTGAGGGCTCAGCTGACAGACCCCTAATACCGCTCGAACAAATCCAGCCCCACGCCGGCTGGGAGCAGCCAGTGCAACCGCAATGCACTCTGGGAACGAACCCGGAGCGCACCTACGATTGGACAGAGCGGCTAACCAACGAGAGAGTAGAAGAGAGCTAGACTCGCCCAAACAGCCGAGACCCACGGGATGTCGGAGGTTTGGTTGGGGACAAACCTCTCCCGGGGCTGGTGGAGGCTGAGAAAGGCAGAAAATGTCCATTTAGACTTTATGTGAGCCTGGTGATCAGTTCGGACTCCCATATTTTCTTCTCCTGCCAAAGTTTTGTAAAAACCCCTTCTTTCATGGGCCAGCAGGTGGCGTGCTGGTTAAGGCGCTGGACTCCCACGTGGCTAATTGGGGTTCGAGGCACGGACCTGGCAGCTTGCTTTCTCACTTTCCCTTTCTTTCTCTGTCTCTGGTCAAATTAAAAAATAAGTATAGTAACAAATAAAATGAAATGAATAAATGATTCCTTTTTTGGGGGGGCAAGAGGGGTTTTTGCTGTAGGGCGCGTGCGTTCGCCAGAGAGACAGAGAGACAGAAAGTGAGAAATCACCCCCCAGGGTGGATGGCCAAGCCGCAATCCCTTCTCCTCCATTCTCCTCTCGGGATCTTGGGCATGCACGCACACGCGCCCGGCGTGAGTTTTAAGCCACTGGGTCCGGGACACGAACTGCGGTCGACTACGTGGGAGTCCAGTCTTTCTGGCGAGCACACGTACCCTATAGCAAAAACCTCTCCAAATAAAAAAAAAAAAAAAAAAAAAAGAAAGCCCCTGCTAGCCATGTGTCCTGAGCGACTACATCTCCCAGAGGCCAAGCGGCAGAAATTGTCCTTCACATACCGGCTTCATGCTGCAGGAGAAACACTGTGAGTCGCGGGAAGGACGGTCGTCAGCATGGTAGAGGGCACCGTTCCCATGCCTCCATAAGGATTTGCTTTGTTTTTGCTTTAGTGTTTTCCAGCATCAGTCTTGCAGGCTCCTCTCCCAGTACCCCTTTGCCTTGACCTAGCGCTCATCAGCAGCCTCAGACTGACTGTACCTTGGCCCTATGCTAGCTTCATATAAGGAGTGGCCATTAGGTCGGTCCTCTAGGTCAAGAGCGGAACCAGATTTCTCTTTAAACTGGCTACTAACGCCTTCTGAGACCACTCCCTTCTGGAGAAAACATGGTCTGCAAGAGAGATGCAGCTGTATAGCCAGGACACTCTCCCAGGTCCTTTTTTTGGAGAGGTTTAGGCCAACTGCTGGTTCCATCCCAGACCATTCCTTCAGCTAGAGGAACTCCTTTTATCTTGGCCTATTTGTGATCCTCTTCATCCTTTTAATAAACCTTTTGAGGGACCAGCAGATAGAGTAATGGCTACATCACTGGACTCCCATGTATATTTGACAGCGGTTTGAGTCCCAGACCCGGCAGGTTAAACTCACACCAGTTACATGTGCGCCCAAGATCCCGAGAAGAGAATGGAGGAGAAGGGATTGTGGTGTGGCTGTCCCCCCGGGGGGGTGATTTCTCACTTTCTGTCTCTCTGTATCTGTCTTTCTGGCAAGCACACATACCCTATAGCAAAAACCTCTAAAAAAATAAACCTTTTGAAACAGAGAGATGACTGTTGCAGAGCTTGAAGGGGTGAGGATTTATTAAGCATCTGCTATGTGCAGTTCCTGACCAGGTGCTAGGATACATCAGTGACCAAAGGGGCAAAAATGTATATTAGGGGCAAGCTGGTGGCATGGGTTGAAGCCATTGGATCCCATGTGACCAAGTGTGCTTTTGGAGTCCAGGACCAGAGGATTGAGAAACATGCCAGGTGCCTGTGTTTGCCCAAAATCCAATTTTGGGGGAAAAGAGAGAGAGAGAGAGAGAGAGAGAGAGAGAGAAGAGAGAGAGAGAGAGAGAGAATGAGAGGGAAGGAATCGAGGATAGTCAAAGTATATTTACAACTCTTCCCAGTGGAGCAGAGCAAAAGTAGGTGATAACTGGAGAGGGCTGTGAGAGTAAGAAAGGCTTTTCTGGGCAAGCTAGTGGCATGGAGGTTAAGGTGCTAGATCCCACATGGCTAGATGTGTTGTTCAAATCCTGGAGGGACCAGCAGTTAGCATAATGGCTATGTCACTCGACTCCCACGTAGTCAACTGTGGTTCGTGTCCCAGACCCGGTGGCTTAAAACTCACACCGGGCACGTGTGCATGCGTGCCCAGGATCCCGAGAGAATGGAGAAGGGGTTGCGGTGAGGCCATCCCCCCTGGGGGGTGATTTCTTGCTTTCTGTCTCTGTCTGTCTGGCAAGTGCACGCACCCTATAGCAAAAACCTCTCAAAAAAAAAAAAAGACAAATCCTGAAATCTGCAGCTTGAAAATCACTCTGGTGCATATGTGTGCATGCCCAAAACCCCAAGAGGAGGCTGGAGAAGGGATTGCTGTGTGGCCATCCTTCTGGGAAGTGATTTCGCACTTTCCTTCTCTCTCTGTCTGTCTCTCTCCAGTGAGCCTTATAACAAAAACTACAAAAAATAAAAATAAGAGAGAGAGGCTTCCCCCCTCCCCAAATAGAACAGTTTTGTTTGCTATGGCAATGACCCAGTAGATAGAAAAACCTAATGATATAGAACAGAGAGGGGAGAATTTTGGAGTTGGAGAGAACCTATTGCTATTTCCGGAACGGAAGGTTGGTGTCCACAGAATCCCCGAGTGACATAGGATTGACAGCCTCGGCAGGCAGATGCACCATGGCTTGTAAATGGCTCCAGGCTCCATCTTCCAGCCCTCCTGCTCTGTTAATGAAAGGAACAGCCTTTTCAGAACATGATATTCTGGATGTTCTTTGGACATATGGGTGCCTAGAGAACAAGATGCTGCTAGATATGGAGACAACAATCAGAAAAATATGGCTCTTCTTTTGTGGACAGTTAGAAGAACTACTATTTTCACTGCCACTTGAGTGAAGGGGATATTTCAGGTCACACAGTGAGTAGATGAAGAGCTTATTTATATAAATGCCACAGCGCCCAGGGAACTCATACTAAGTACTGCTGTGCTAGCCACAGATAAATAATGCTGAATCCCAGGGATGACACAGAATATATTGTGCCACCTTTTATCCCCCCACCCCTGGGGAGATTTTTAAAAATTTATTTAATTCCATTTGTTATTATTTTTTAATTTGACTAGAGAGAAAGGGAAAGTGAGAAAGCTGCCAGGTTTAGGATCCAAACTGCAGTCAGCCATGTGGGAATCCAGTGCCTTTAACCACCACGCCACCTGCCAGCCCCCAAGGGAGATTTTTGCTGTAACGCTCCTACACGGCATTCCCTCTAAGAGGGTCATTTCTCACTTTCCTTCTCTTTATCTCTCTGGTGAATACATGTGCCCTATAGCAAAAACATGTAGATAAAAAAAAAAAAAAAAAAAAAAAAAAAAAAAAAAAAGTATAGGTCCAGCCAGGTGACATAGTGGTTAAGGTGGCCGGATCCCACGTGACCGACTGTGTGGTCTGACCACACACCACACCACACCGGGAGCATGTGTTCATGCTCCAAATCCTGAGAGTAGAATGAAGGAGAGACTAGTGTGCTCATTTCTCCAGAGGATGCTTTCTCACTTTTTCTGTCTTCCCCATCTTTTTCTCGTAAGCACACGTACCCCATAGCAAACTAAAATATACAAGTTAAAAAGTTTATTTCCCCAGAGATGGGGGAGGAAGAGATAGGCACCCTCAATAGAATCCTAATGCTGTGATCCTCCTTCCAGTCCTTTGGCCAGCCAGGTCAGGGGTTTGCCCACAGTCGAGCTTGGTGAGTTCAGGTAGACGTGGCTGCAGACACAGAGCCTTCCGGTATGGTCTCCAGCATTGTGAAGTAGCACTCCCACTGCCTATGACATGGCTCCTGGGCCTTTTTTAAAAACCAAGGTTAGGGAACCAGCAGTTAGTGTAATGGCTATGTCGCTGGACTCCCACGTAGTCAACCGCGGTTCGCGTCTCGGACCCGGTGGCGTAAAACTCAGGCGGGGGGAGATTTCTCACTTTCTGTCTCTCTGTCTCTCTCTTGTCTGTCTGGCGAGCGCACGCGCCCTATAGCGAAAACCTCTCAAAAAAACCCAAAAAAAACCAAGGTTAGTACTTTTTTTTGAAGGTGTTCACTATAGGGCCTGTGTGCTTGCTGGAGAGAGACACAAAGAGACAGTGAGAGGGAAAGTGAGAAATCACCAGCAGGGGGTATGGCCACACCTCAATCTCACCTCCTACAATTTCCTCCTGGGACTTTGGGCATGCACACACACACGCGCCCGGTGTGATTTTCAGGCCTCAAGTCCAGGACCTGAACCACGGTCAATCATGTGGTAGTCCAGTGCCTTACACTGCACCACCTGCTGGCTTCCAGACCCGGGTTATTATTATTATTTTTTTTGGGAGAGATTTTCACTATAGGGCGCGTGTGCTCGCCAGCCAGACAGAGAGAGACAGAGAGACAGAAAGCGAGAAATCACCCCCCAGAGGGGATGGCCACACCGCAATCCCTTCTCCTCCATTCTCCTCTCGGGATCTTGGGCACGCACGCACATGCGCCCGGCGTGAGTTTTAAGCCACCGGGTCCGGGACACGAACTGCAGTCAACTACGTGGGAGTCCAGCGACATAGCCATTACGCTAACTGCTGGTTCCCCAGACCCAGGTTATTTTTGTCTCGAGGCTTTTACACATACGACTCCTGCGTCCTGTGTCCTTTCAGATGTGGTTTCTGCTCCCCATTCAGGTCTCAGCTCAAGTAGCGTCCAAGAGAGGTTTTTCTTCATGACATTTAACACTTCTTGAAATTATCTTTATTTTTTGGGGAGAGATTTTGCTATAGGGTGTGTGTGCGCTTGTCCAAGAGATAGAAAGAAATGGAAAGAATGGAAAGAGAAAAGGTGAGAAATCACTCAGTAGGTGAGATGACCAAGTGCCAATCCCTTTTCCTTCATTCTTCTCTTGGGATTTTGGGGCACACACACACACACCCCACGTGAGTTTCAAGCTGCCCGGGCTAGGACTCAGACCACGATCAGCCACATGAGACTCCAGCACCTTGACCACTATGCCATCTGCTGGCCACAAAATTATCTTATTTGGTAGGTTCTGTAAACTCCTCAGGGTCGTTCCGTTTTTTTTTTTTTTTAAATAATTATTTTATTTAACTATTTATTATTACTTTTTAATTTGGCCAGAGAAGGGCGAGGGGAGAGAGAGAGAGAGAGAAAGCTTCCAGGTCTGGGACTCAAACCGCCATTGGCCATGTGGGAGTCCAGCGCCCTTAACCACTATGTGATCTGCTGGTCCCAAGGGTCTTCCTGTTTTTGATCTTGCCAGCCCTTCTAGTATGACCAAATTACTTCATTGTTTCACCACCCTCAGAATAAAATACAAAGTAACATGACTGACTGACTTTTTTGGGGGGAGAGGTTTTTGCTACAGGGTGCTGTCCATTCGCCAGACAGACAGAAAGTGAGAAATCACTCCCCAAGGGGGATGGCCACACTGCAATCCCTTCTCCTCCATTCTCCTCTCGGGATCTTGGGCACACACGCACACACGCCCAACGTGAGTTTAAGACACAGGGTCCGGGACTCGAACCGTGGCCAACTACATGGGAGTTCAGCGACATAGCCATTACGCTAACTGCTGGTCCCCACCTGGCATGAGTTTTAAGCCACTGGGTCCAGGATGCAAACCGTGGTTGACTACATGGGAGTTCAGCTACATAGCCATTACGCTAACTGCTTTTTTTTTTTTTTTTTTTTAATATATCTTCCCCAGACACATTTTCTGTGTAGTTTTCAAGTCACATTTTAAAATTTAATTTTATTTATTCATTCATTTTTTAAAAATGCGACCAGAGAGAGTCACAGAGAGAGAGAAAGAGAGAGAGAAAGGGACAAAGGAAGCCACCAGGTCCAGGACTCAAATTGGTTAGCCATGTGGAGTGTACAACACCTTAACTACCGTGCTACCTGCTAGTCCCTATTATCAATAGATTTTTGTTCGGTGAGTGGATAAATGCCATCAGTGTTGGGATTTGCTCACCCCTTGTGGCATCAACAAAGTTGCAACAGTTCCAATTATGTCTTCTCTCATCTACACAAAGCAGGAAAGAACAAGAGACTTCCCGAAGCAAAGTTCTCTTCGTGTTTAGGCTCTGACTGGGCTGCATCCCATGTACCTGAAATAATCCCTATAGCTTAGGGAAACTCACTCACACCACGTGGTCTGAAAATAGAGGAGGTGTGGTTTTCTTGGATCATTATCACTGGACTGAGTGAGTGAGTGAATGCTTGGAAGAAAAAAGAAAAAGATGGCTATTTTGCCCTTGGTAAAAAAATCAAATAGGGAGGGGTCAGCAGGTGGTGTGATGGTAAGCGTTGGATTCCCACATGGCAAACTATGGTTCTAGTCTTGAATCTGGTGACTAGAAAATTACGCTGGGTTGGGGCTGGCAGATGGTGTGGTGGTTTAAGGCGCTTGGCTCTCACATGGCCGACCACAGTTCAAGTCTTGGATCTGGTGGCTTGCTTTCTCACTTTCTCTATCTTTCTGGCCAGAGTAAATAATAATAATAATAATAATAAATAAAATTTTAAGAAAAGAAAAGAAGAGACCAGGAGATGACATAATGGTTACGTTGTTGGACTCCCACTTAGTCGCCCCTGTTCAAGTCTCAGACCCAACAGCCTCAAATTCACACCACGTGCTTGTGCGTAGATACTCAAAATCCCAAGAGGAAAATGAAGAAGAGAGTGTGGCACGGCCATTCCCCCTGGGGGGTGATTTCTCGCTTTCTGTCTCTGTCCCTCTCTGTCTCTCTGGCAAGCACACACGCCCTAAAGCAAAAATCTTTTTCAGAAAAATAGAAGGCCAGCAGGTGGTGTGGTGGTTAAAATGGTGGACTTCCACATAGCTGACCATGGTTTGAGTCCTGGACCTGGCAGCTTGTTTCCTCACTCTCCCTTTCTCTCACTGTCTCTCTCTGATAAAATTGAAGAATAAATAAAATTAAATACATGTTTAAAAAAATAGAAAAGAAAAAAATCATGCTGGTTCATGTGCATATGTGCCCCAAATCCAAGGACAACAATGGAGGAGATGGGATTGTGGCAAGGCTATCCCCCCGGGGGGTGATTTCTCACTTTCATTCTCCCTGTCATTCTCCAGTGAGTGCACGTACTCTACGGTAAAAACGTAAAAAAAAAAAAAAGAAAAGAAAAAAGAATCCAGGGACCAGCAGATGTTGTAATTGTTATATCACTGGACTCTCATGTAGTCGACTGCGGTTCGAGTCCCAGACCCAGTGGCTTAAAAAACTCATGCCAGGCATGAGTGCATGTGTGTCCAACATCCCAAGGAGAATGAAGGAGAAGGGATTGTGGCATGGTCAACCCCCTAGGGGGGTGATTTCTCACTTTCTGTCTTTCTCTGTCTCTAGCTGGCGAGTGCACATGCCTTATAGCAAACATCTCTCTTATGAAAAAAAAAAAAAAAAAGCAAGACTCACTGGGGACAGAAGATGCAGAATGACTGAAATCTAGGAAGAATGTAGTTACTACGTGGAGTCCAGGAGGCCTTCCTACGGTACTGCATGTGGTGATGAACTCAGAAAGGCACAGTTCTCAGGAACTTCAGCTGTGGCCTTCTTTTTAGCCATGCATTCATTAGAAAAGTAGTGTTTATATTCTTCCTTCTTCCTGGCTCTGCAATTGCCTTGTGGTGCCAAATATGCTCCCTTTCCAAAGGGTAATACTTTTGTAATTAATACCAATTCTTCTACACCAGTATTTGGCCTCTCGGATGGATCCTGTCACCAGCCCCCCTCCCCAATCTGTTGTCTTTTACTCTGTGTATGTCTATTTTTTTTTTTTTTGAGAGGGTTTTGCTATAGGGCTCGTGTTCTCACCAGAAAGACAGAGACAGAGAGACAGAAAGTGAGAAATCACTCCCTAGGGGAGATGGTCATGCTGCATTTCCTTCTTATCCATTCTCTCAGGATCTTGGGCACACACGCACATGCACCCGGTGTGAGTTTAAGCCACCAGGTCCGGGACTCGAACTGCAGTCGACTACATGGGAGTCCAGAGATGTAGCCATTACACCATCTGCTGGTCCCTATTCTGTGTATGTCAAGATGGTCTTGCTCAGGTGGGAGGCAGCTCATACAATTAGGCATGCGCCTTTGTGTAGATGTGTTTTAGAGAATGGATTAGACACCAATTCATATTCCTTTTTTTGTTTGTTCATTTTAAAGAATTATTTTATTTAACTTTATTTATTTAATTTTATTTGACCAGAGAGGGACAGAGTGAGGGCAACAGAGGAAAAGTGAGAAAGCAAGCCTCCAGGTCTAGGACTTGAACTGTGGTCAGCCATGTGGGAGTCCAGCGACATAACCACTATGCTGTCTTCTGCCCCCCCCTTTTAAATAATTATTTTATTTATTATCTTTTTTCCAGAGGTTTTTGCCTTAGGGTGCGTGTTCTCACTAGACTAAGATAGAGGCAGTGAGAGGAAAAGTGAGAAATTACCTCCCAGAGGGGATGGCCACTTGTAGTTCCTTTTCCATTCTCCTCCCAGGATCTTGGGCACATGATCAAACCACAAGGTCTGGGACTGGAACCACAGTCAGCCATGTGGGACGTAACTGGTACACCGTCTGCTGGCCCCTATTATTATTTATTTTTAAAATTTTGACCTGAGGACGACAGAAAGGTAAAGTGAGAAATCAAGCCCCTAAGTCAGGGCTCAAACCATAGTTAGCCACGTGGCAGTCCATCACCCCAACATCACCTTCTGATCCCATAGACCTGGTTTTCATTTACCAATTTGTGAAAGGACCAGGGACCATAGTGAGAGCTGGAAAGTAGGAACTGTTCGCCTGCAAAGTCCTCGACAGTATATATAGATTACCTAGAACAATAAACAGCATGCTCTTTAGACATAAACTGAACTTAGCAGTGTCCCAGGGCTTCTGAACACTTGGAAAACAGTGTATTTTGAGATGTCAAAGTTGCCTCTTACCTAGTTACCCCAATGCATTGTCGACGTGATTGTCTTCCGGAAAGAAACATTTATTATCGGTGGTCACTTGAGAGCACCTGAATTCAGGTCTTTAAGTGCAAGCAGGATCCAGAATGCTGACATGCCAAAAGTCTATGGCCCCTTAGGGCAACCACGTCTAAGAGCTTAGTAACCTAGGCAAGCTACTTAGAAGCCTCAAACGCCGAGGCGGCCGCCAAATTCTCCAAGCCAAACAAGTCTTCAAGGCCAGCGGCCATGTCCACCTGAGATCGAGGAGGCCAGGCCATCAGGCATTGAGGAAGACGCCCCCGGCCCGGACTGCGCAGGCGCGGTCGGCCCAAGAGGGCCCCGGCGCTTCGGCTTGCGCAGGCGCAGGAGAGGCTCCCGGCGAGTCCCGACGGCGGCGGTGGTGGCGGTGACTGAGGGGCCGGGGCGTGGAGCAGCAGTGGCGGTGGCGGTTTTTTTTGGAGCCATGAGGGCCGGGCCCAGTCACCGACAGTGAGTGGCGATGGGAGGGGAGTAGGTGGAGGGGATGGGGGTGCTCCGGGGAAGGATACCGCGACTTGGGTGGGCTCTGCCTGTCGGGGATCGAGGGGCGTGGGGGAGGGACAGTTGAGGTGACGGTGGGAGAACCAGGGGCATGAGTGGCGGATAACCAGCCCCAGAGCTGGACGGCTTGGCGCAGGGAAGGGTTTGCGGGATGTGGAGTGAAGGCGCCCACCGCAGGGCCAGTGTCCAGCGCCCCGGTTTGTCATTATCCCTTCCCCCAGGAGCTTTCGGTCGCCTCTCCCTTTCCGCTTTCAGAGAATGGTCGCGGGGGGAGGGAGGTGGAGGGTGAAAGCGGTGCAGGAGCAGAAGCCGTCTCTGAAGCAGGCAGGGAAAGGCCCGTGTCCCGGAGTAATAGGTTGCTCAGGCTAGAGCATGAGAGTTCACAGCTGGGAGAGGTCTAGGGGAAGAAATGAGGGGTTTTTGAGCGAGACAGGTGCAAAACCAAGTCCACCGCTGATGAAGCAAATAGATAACCTTGGGCAGGTCCCACTTAACCTTCTGAA